GTAAGGACATGTTCAGTCTTACACATTTTCCATTCCACCCTTGTGATAAAACGACTCCTATTTTATTCAGATTCCTTTCTTAAACAAGGGGATAGCATCTCCCATTTCTCCTGCGCCTGATAGGAGGGGGCCCATTTTATAGCCACCATCCTGGGGCAATGCCCAGAAGGAGGGAAGGAGAAAGGAGACTTGGAAATAGTAGGTTTTGAGTTGTTGGTTCTTGATTGTGTACTTAAATAATAGTTCTACCTCAGTGGTTCTCAGGCCTGGATGCACATTTGAATCACCTGGGTGCCCACTCCACTTGGATGGGCATTTCTGGGGGTGTGACCTTGGCCTTGGCATTTTCCAAATCTTCCCTGGTGGTTGTACTGTGTAGTCAGGTGGGAACCAAGACCTACTTGAGGTAAAGTACAGGACCTTAACTGAGTCAAGCATGATTCATTTGCAACCAGGTGAGATGACTCTTCCCCTCCTTATGTGACTTGTACCTAAAATAATGGGCATAATTAAGTCGGGTATCAGTAGAAGCTTGGGAAGTTTAAAAAAAAAAAAAAAAGGCATGTCACCAAAACTTTTCTTTTTCCCCACCTTATAAAAAGCAACTGCGAAGCATCCCCATTACTACCAACGATTGGGGAGGAGAAAGAACCTCCCGCAATCTCAAGGCCAAAAATTCTAAATTGTGGCTGTCAACTTTAGCTGCCTGGGGGAATCATCGAGGAGCTTTAAAAATACTAATACTCAGGCCTTACTCCCAGAGATTTTGATGCAGTTGGTCTAGGGTATGGCCTGGACATCAGGATTTTTTCAAGTTCCCCAGGCAATTCCAGTGGGCGGCCAAAGTCGATGTCACTAGTAAAACCTTCATGGTGGCTCTCAACTCTGGCTTCATCAGAATTACCTTTGGCCTTTTCTTCAAAACACCCATTTTCAGAGAAATTCTGATCTTGGGTAAAGCCCAAGGATCTGAACCACAGGTTATTCTGCCTCCCAGCTGTAGTTGTGCTGCCTGGGGCTAAGATCTGCTATTCTCAGAGCTCACCTAGGCCATGACCTAGAGTCTCGCCTGTTAGGCAGCAACCCGTGTGCCTCCTGTGCCTCGCTGGAGAAGTTTTCGTTCATAGGCACATTGGGCTCCCTAATTCAATGAGACTGAAATGTGAGTGTTTGCAGCCGTGACACTAGGTGACTGGGGCATTCCTGTTGACATGAAGACTTTCCCGGTGGGCTAGGACCCCTGCCAGGGGTGTTTTTGAGGCAGAGCTGGTTGTGAAGGGCCCAGCACACAAATGGGAAATGTTCCTCTGGAAGGAAGAATATGGAAAATCAGCAAAAGGTGACCCAGCCCAAAGAGTTATCTTTCTTAGTGAGTTAAGACTACACCGTCTGGGGGCATCTTGGCACCTTGCCACACCACAGCAAGGAGACCTCTTTACAGGGGAGTGAGCAACCTGGCCTTTTTGCAGTGAGGTTTGTGAGCTTGTCACGAAATCACTGTCCCAGAGTATCTTCCAGACCAGTCTGCATTACCCTAGAAAGGTAGCCTTCATGGTTGAGATTGTTAGTTTTTAAACCCAGAAGCCCCTGTTTCCTCATCTGTAAAGAAGGTAAATAGCAACGCTGACCTCACATGCAGCTGTGATTGTTGGGAATAAGAGAGATGGATTCATATGGAAGTTTGGCACAGTGCCTGCAATAAATGGTGTGTGTTGTAATTAGCGCTTGGCTGCCGCTCGTTTATTTAAACAGGTTTTCTTGGAGTCCCCAGCATTGATGTGTTAATCCGTAAGGTTTGCAGAACCAAGTGGTTGTGAAGGTGTTAGAATCCTTCTCTCCCAAGGGCCTGCAGGTCAGAGTAGGACTATTTCGGAAATAGGAGTGCTTAGCCTGGACCTCTCACAGATAGTTACACAGATCCTCACTGCACTGCCCTGGGAGGAAGCAGCATAAACACCTGTCTGTAGACGTCCCATTGGCTTGGCTGCAAGTCCCGAGGAGGAATGTGACAGTTGACCCCAAGGCCCAACCTCCTCAGCCCCCTCCTGTTCAGTGGTTCACCAGTCTTTGTAGACCTGGGTCTTGCCCGAAGGAGCACGGAGACTGACCTGAAGTGAGGCTGGTGGGGAGGGCAGTGATTCTGAGGGCGTTCAGAAGAGGTGAAGTTAGATCCACGCAAAGAGATAAGGCAAACGGATGTATGGGTGACTGGGTGAAGGAATGAGTCTGTAAATTACCTTTTTGGAGAATGTGATCTTTGAGACGGAGTCTGATGGGGAGAGTAAGGAATAACATTCCAGTCAGAGAAGGTGGCAGGAGGTGAGATGGGCAAATGGAGAGTGGTAGGTGATCATGCATAGACCAGGCAGGTATGTCCATGTGCCTATATGCCCGGCACTGGTTTATTTGACACTGGGCTGGGGGGGGGGGGGGGGGGGGCGCATCTTGGGTCGGCTGGAACCTAGGTTATGGGAGATAAAATGGAGAGGATTCAGGCCCTGCAGAGAGGGGGTGTCAAATACCAAAAAGTGGAAGTCCACAGGGAGCCAACTGGGTGCAGGGTGAAACTGAAGGTCAGACTGGAACAGGGACCCCATACAGGGTTCTCTCCGGATGCTGACAGCTTCGATCTATGTGGCACCTCCACTGTTGCTTAGCCCATCAGCCTCCGGTCCAGTCCACTGTCTGCTTCCCCCAGTGGGAAGAGGCCAGTGCCTTTGTTTTCTCCACAGCCCACAGGTTGAGGTGTTTCTTGATTTTGACCTTCACATAATTTTGTTATTAAAACCAAACAAAAACCTGCCCCTGGCCCACAGGCCCTCAGTCTCCTCCCTCAGCCCAGGACTGGGACAGTCAAGAGTTCTGTGATCTAGATCCTTTTTAAGGAAAGTCTTGCTAGAGATCCCCCTCTACGACTTTGTCCCTCCTGCATCTGGAAGCTGCTCTCTTGTCCTCGGGTCTGTAGAGAACCCTACATGGTGCCCTGTGTCCTAGTTGGCCCTCCTCAGCTTCTTTACTTGCACCTTTGTTGAACTGAAAACTTCAAATCTCTTTTACCTTTTCAAGATTGGAGCCTAAACCAAAAGGCACGTTTGATCAAGAGCTTAACCTGTGGCATTCTTACCCCAATCCCTTTTGAGTATGTGGGGGGAAGCAGCCTGATGAATGAGCAAGAATCCAGACTCTGGGCTAAACAGACCTGGGTGTGAATTTCTCTCTTGTCTAGCAGTGTGACACAGGCAAATGACTTTGACTTTTCTGTGCAAGGATCAAATGGGAAAACGTAGGTGAAATGTACAATAACCCTTAACAGAAAAGCAAGGGCCTGAATTCAAACTGAAAAAAAAAAAAAAAACCCTTTAAGAAAGGTATATAACAAGTGGGCTATGGGACAAAGAGCCCCCACGAAAGACTTTTCCATTAAGCAGTGCTAGAGACAAGCTTCTATGCTGTGGTGGTTCAGGGTGAAGCCTTAACCAGCAATTTTCGCAGTATCTCCTGTTTGTCACAGATCTTAAACTCTACACTACCTGTTCCTTTAACATGAAAATTATTACATTTTTGTTAACATTGAGCAAAACCTGTGTTCCAGAAAAAGATAACTGTGTTTATCCTGTGGCCCCAAGGATCCCTCTGGCATCTGGGGTCTGGTGGCCCAGGAGTCCAGGTGTAGGGGAACCACAAATGTAACACCCCTGGGGCTGGCCCTGGGCACAATAGCAGGCAACCAGAACCCTTAATCCCCTTTTATTTCTCCTTGTTCTTCAAAGGCCTTTAAATCTAAAAGTGAAGGAGAGAGACTGACTACTTCATCAAAAGGTAGACTCTTGGGAAAAAAAAAAAAAAAAGTTTACAGCTATCACTGCCATGGCTGGGGGGGAAACCAAAACACAACTTTAAATCCAGTGTGTGATGTTTGGTGCAGGGCTGCTCTTGGGGAAGTCCCCTGTGGGAAGGAAACTTCCCCACCTGAGAAGACAATGGTGATCAACCATTTTCTTTATAATAACAAAATCACCCGAACAAAGGGACCTGTACCTAAGCAAAGTATCTTCTGTTGAGAAGAACCCTATGCTTGGAGGGGGAAAAAATGCCTTCATCAGAAAATGAGCATCCCTTCCTTATGACTAGAACCTTTCCTGAGGGTTCATCCTCCAAGAACCACTTGTGGCTGCCCCAGGATTGAGGGGGTGGGGAGGTTAGCATAAGCAAGAGTTATATATATGGAGGGAGTAGCAACAGCCTTCTGCACACAGGAGGAGGCTATTACAGAAGCGAAAGAGCCCTTGGATACTAGCAGTACCAGTAATAATATCCCCTTGTGTCAGTATTGCCCTTCACAGGCCATGTGCACGTTCAAGAGCATGGCCTCTTTTGTGCCCTTTACTGATCCTCCTCCAGTGGAATGAGGCCAGGTGGTGTTGGAAATGAGAAGCAGACTAGTGGCTTCTCAAGTCCTGCATTTCCCAGAGAGTGGCACCGGCCCCTACTTGAGTACGCCCCCACCCCGACCCCGTGTGCCAGGCACTGGGTAAATGGTTGCAGGGCTAATTAAATGTGATGAAGAGGATAAAAAAGCAAACCACAGCCTGTGTCTCCCTCTGGGTTAGCGTGTGTTCTCTCTCTCACCATCGAATTCTGAATACACACACTTAGTTTAAAAATAACCTGGATTTTTATGAACTGCCAAAATGAACTTCGTGTCCTGAACACGTTTGCTGCCTTCTCTATCCCCACCATCTGACATGGTAACAATGATAATGAATGCTTCCACAGATGAGCAAGCCGATTAGTTACTCCTCATTCTCCAAGGAAGAGGTGCCCATTCAGGGAAATGGCAGGGAGTTTGCTGATCCCTTTGCATCCAATAGCAGAGGCTGGAGGGGCCCCTTTGGGCTTTTCCTAGGGCTTTGGGTCCCTCTGGCCCAGCCTTCCTAGGGGAAGATGGGGGGACAAGACCTTCCATCAGAAGAGCATGCTGACATTCCTTTCTTCCCCAGCTGCCATTCTGGGTATGTTGGTGCACGCTGTGAGCATGCCGACCTCCTGGCTGTGGTGGCCGCCAGCCAGAAGAAGCAAGCCATCACCGCCTTGGTGGTGGTCTCCATCGTGGCCCTGGCTGTCCTCATCATCGCATGTGTGCTGATACAGTAAGTATTTGCTGCCCCTAAGTTCGAGGCCCTGTCCGGGACATTTGCGGCATGCCCAGATAACCGGGCCACCTCAGCATGGTTTATTCTGTGGTGTCTGACTGGTGTCAGCAAAGCCAAGAGGAACTCAGGTAACAGCCAGGCTGTGTGAAGGACACACATCCTGGGAAGGTCCCCCAGCAGTGAGTCTGCACATTGCTGGAAGCTGGCATAGAAGCAAAGGCACATGCTCTCTCCTGCTATTGGGTTTGGAGCCTTCAGAGTTGTGATAGCAACGTGCAGGTTTTCCAGAGGAACTAGAAATGGCTCTCAGCCTCATTTAGCAAGTGGCAGAGGTGCTTCCTCTCCGCCAAAGTCACTTTGCAAATCCCAAAGCCACGTCAAAGGTCTTGGTTGTTATTTTGACAGGCTGGTGACACCCCTTCTCCATGTCTCTGCCCCTCCTCAGCTTCCAAAACTCAGTTTCTGCCCTGCTTCTTACAGAACATCTTCCCGAGCCAGTAGACACCCTGTTCTTGGACCTGCTTGCTCGCCTGTATCTCCCAACGGGACTGCTCCACAAAGGCAGACACCCAAGTCCTGTATTCGCAGCAGCTGGCCAGATTTATTCCCTGGAAATATCTAGAGACCTCTAATTCACAGAGCAAGTCCTCTGAGAATTTATATCTAATTGGATATGCACAAGGAATCCACAGAATAACTAAAGGCTACCAGTCAGCTCGGTGTGGATTAACTCATGGCAGAGACTAGTGGATGGGCCATTCCGGCAAAGGCTGGAGTAAGCGGCTGTGTGTTAATGAAGGAAGCCAGACTTCAGCCCTCTAAGGTTGTCTGGAATTTGGACAGATAATTATGAGTCTCTGTCCTGTTTATTTATTGGTTTGTTGCTGTTGGGGCAACCTGGTTCTGGCAGCGAATGGAGTGCCCCTCAGAGCCATAGTTTCACATCCTTCTCCTGGCCCAAGCCAGCATTAAGTGGTGAGGGATGAGGTTCGATTGAGCTGGCCTTTCCTTCCACTTCAAGCAGTGTCTGTTCCACTCTCGCCTGCCTTGGAAAAGGTGGTAGGCAGACAGCTCTGGTTGAGACTGGGGCGTAGCCCAGGCTCTGCCACTCACAACGACAGTTCTCATGACTAGCTGTGTGCACACCCATCATTTCCATAGTCCTATTTCTATGGCCAGGAGGGTTCCAGAGTCTTAGGAACAAGATTTGGTGCCTCCGTGAGCTTCTTCAAAGGGATTTAAAAGCAATTTTGCCAGATTCTCTGAAGACAGGGACAATTTAGGATTCCTGGGCAGCCTCTCTCATTCTCAAGGAGGCAGCCAGTCCCTCCTCTCTTCTGTCTTTTCCCAGCCTATCCTTGCCAAAGACCAAGGTCGGAATCCCTGAGCCAGGGGCACTTGGGTAGCTCAGTCAGTTAAGTGACTCTTGATTTCAGCTCAGGTCATGATGGTTGTGAGGTTGAACCCTGCATTGGGCCCCACACTCAGTGTGGAGCCTGCTTGGGATTCCCTCGCTCTGCCTCTCCCTCTCCCTCTCCCTCCCCCTCTTTTCTTCTCTCCCTCTTCCCCCGCCTTTCTCAAAATAAATAAACATTTTAAAAAAGAATCCCTGAGCCAGAAACCAAGCCCTCACCCCAACCAGGCTGCTGGTTGCCTAGGCATGGGGCCCTCCTGAGTTGCATAGTTGGTTGGGACCAGCTTATCTCATGCCAGAGGGACCTGGAGGCCTTGGTCTCACTGCCCTGGGATGGATGCTCCTTGTTAGGCAGTGACTGGAGTAAGCCCACTGCTAGCTGACTGCAAAAGAACAGTCTCTGGTGGATCTGTAATCAGATCCTCTAGATCCTTCCCGATCTTGGACTCTACGATCAGGAGGGCGCCATGCTGAGATGGACTGCTCTGACCACCGTGGCAGAAGTATGTTGGGCGGAAAGGTCTTGGGCTCCTTCTAGGCTCTGCTGCCCAAAGATTTGGGGGCCCTGGTAGCCTTCCCAGGACAGCACCAGGAAAGAGGGGCTAGGGTAGAGGTCATGAGATACCACCAGGTACCAAGAGGGAAGCACAGCAACAGGGGATCGTTTTCTCACTTGACTCCGGGCCCATGTCCACCAGGAGACCCTGCCCAGCCCCGGTGGGTGGATGCATGGATTATGCCCATGTCAAGGTTAGAATGAGTAGAAACAAAGTCCTCTGCAGTATCCCACAGGATACAGCTCTAAGTGTCTCTAGGTAATCAATGTCTTACTCCGTGCTTGCTTCTCTGCCCTCCTTTTGGGCTCCCTGACTCTTTTTTCATGCTAACTCTGCAAACTATTCATTCCTGCCCACAGAAGAAGGCAGGAGCATTCATAACTCTGATGCTTCAGGACTCTGGGTGACAGAGGTTCACCAAGAGGTTGGGTTTGCCACAACTAGAGAGTATTAGTCCTCAGAGAGAGATTCAAAACCACAGAGACTCATGACTCATTCTTTCATTCTTTCCACGGGTCAGTTCAGCCATGCTGCTGGCAATACTGATGGACGATTCCCCTCCCCAAGCCCTCACAGCCCTGCCAGCCTGAAGTGGCTGCTTTGTCCCAGTCCTGACAGCAGTGCTGAGGCCATTACTACATTTAGGGAGTCACCCAACTGCTGCTTTATGGACAGAGCAACCGGGTGGGTGGTCAGGTTGCCCTGCAAGCCCAAAGCAGAGCTGTGCAAACAGAGGCGGTTCCTTGAAGTGACCAACAGGTGCTCTTGTTAGCTGGCCTCTTCCCCCAAAAGACACCATCCTGCAAGACACTCGGCCACCTGCTGTGTGTGTCTGTCCCTCCAGAGGCCTCCACAGGAAGGCCGGTTCAGAGCCCAGAGCTGCCCAGCAGGCTCTTTAGGCAGACACTGCACCAGCCGAGCACTCCTGCCAGGCTCCCGCCCAGCCCGTGTTCTCTGTGTCTGCAGCTGCTGCCAGGTCCGGAAACACTGTGAGTGGTGCCAGGCCCTCATCTGCCGGCACGAGAAGCCCAGTGCCCTGCTGAAGGGAAGGACTGCTTGCTGCCACTCAGAGACAGGTAAGGGGCTGCCTCGGGGAGGGGCCTTTTTCCCTCAGGAGACACAACTGGGTGGAGAAAACAACCACCTTCTCCAGGGCAGGGCAGAAGTTCTTAGAGGGTGTAGCAGGAAGAGGGAGAAAAGGGAGAGGACGTTTATCCTACCAAGTCAAGTTTAGTTTATTCTGAGGTATGTTTTACACAGAAGGAAGCTCTTTTGGGGCACCTGGGTGGCTCAGTCGGTTAACCTTCCAACTTCAGCTCAAGTCATGATCTCAGGGCTCATGAGTTTGAGCCCCACGTTGGGCTCCAGAGCCCGAGACTGCTTCGGATTCTGTGTGTGTGTGTGTGTGTGTGTGTCTCTCTCTCTCTCCCTCTCTCTCTCTCTCTCTCTCTCTCTCTCTGCCCCTCCCTCACATGCACTCTGTCTCTCTCTCATAAAAATAAACATTTTAAAAAATTTTTACAAAAGGAAGCTCTTTTATCTTTACTGGCCTGTGTGACCTTTGACAAGTTAATTAACCTCTCTGAGCATCTGTTTTCTTATTTAAAAGATGTGCAAATTGAATGAGTACCTACATAAAGTACCTAGTACAGTGTACCACAGGTTGTAGACACACAACCGATGTCTGTTCTCTTTCCCTTGAGAAAGTCCCCTTCCTTTTCCCATTGGTGAAATTAGGGATTTAACCTACAGGTCTCTCAGGACTCTTTAACTCTTACATCCCGTGATCTTCGTTAAGCTTTGATGTCTGATGTTTCATGAACATTTTCACTGACACCCACGACGAATATCAGGCATCCTGATGTGGAACCAAACCCGCACCTCAGGAGTCCTCATCTGAGCATTACTAGCTTGGGGCTCACGGAGGCCAACAGCTCTTTTATCAAGACGAGTTCTGAAAAGTTGCACGTCAACAAATTTTTCTAAAATGCTCTTTTGACCAGCAGAGCCCATTATAAATTTAAAGTTCCTTTTCAGGAAGTAGTGAGACAAGAGACAGTCACCACAGGCTAATCCACCAAGAGTGACCTTCTCTAGTAAACAGTTGGCATTCCAGAAGCTCAAGGTTGCATGAACAGAGTAGGAAGAAGGGCGACTGGGAAGCTGGAGCACCGACGTGTTCACTAAACCTCCTGGCGGTCTGACCTGGAAGGTGCTGAAGGCCCAGGAGCAGGTTATTCAGGACCTGTAGTAATCATGCATGAGCAGGTCTTTTTAATCAGGGGGCCCACAACTCTTGAGGATGTTAATCCATCAGTCCTCGTAATGGCCTTCAGAGGAAGAGGATTTGTCAGTGATGTAGGTAAACTGAGTCTGCCAAAGTTCTGCATGCATCCCACCGTAAGTCCATGGGGGAGCTAGGATGCGAGCCAGGAACTCTGAAGACTCCACTCAAATCTCTCTTCCACTGACTCGGAGGACCATCCATTGAGCTAACACGCTTCTTATTTTGTTATTTAGCACCAGTGGAGAAATTATTTAAAATTTATAGTAGATTTTGTACTATTTGTGTGCACCTCAGCAGAGTCATTTGGGGTAGAGTAGTTTCTTATTAATGTCACTTCTCTACCCACATTTGGGAGGACATTAGCTTGGAGCCTCAGATGGGTCCGGCCTTCCAGAGATGGACACTGAGGCTAAAGCCCCCTCCCTGAGATGATGCATACCTCTCCACCTCCAGAGGAACCACAGGAGGGACCAGGGCAGGAAGATGTCCGGGCCAAGCTGGATTCTTGAGCTGTGGGGAGCTAAGTCCATGCTGCCTCCCGTGAGCCACAGAGGATGCCTCAGAGCCCCACCCATTGAGAAACAAATGAGTCCATTCTCATATGGCCTGAGGAGAAGCCATTCTGCCACCAGAGCCCTCAGCCAGCTCCTTGGCTGCCCATGAAGCCACCCCTTACGGAGGCACCAGCACAGGCTGGGCTGACTGTCCTCCAGTTGAACGAAGGCCCTCATAACACGGTGCATCCCCATTCTCTTCAGCCTTTCCTTTGGCACTAAAAGTACAATTTCAGAAGCTGCTGCCCCTGAGGTTGAACCAGAGGACCTTGGACCTGGGCCTGACTGCCCCAGAGAACCCGGTGACATTGGCTGATGCATCTCCAAGCTTCTGTCCCAAGCTTGTCTTCCTAGCATGGCTGGGGTCTGGCATGCAGAACTTAACTTGTCTCTCCTTCCTTCCAGTGGTCTGAAGAGCCCAGAGGGAGTTTGGCCAGGTAGACTGCGGCAGCCTGAGGAAGAAAGGACTTCTTCAGGACGAGCCGACAGACCTTCCTACTCTGCCTGCAATCACCTGTGCAGCCTTTTTGTCTTTTGTGGGCCTTCCTTCGAAACTCTGTCAAGAACTCTGTCTGCTTGGGGTTATTTGGTGTGACCTAGAGAAGAAATCAGTGGACCACAGTTTAAAGACTGGTCAAAAAAGAATTGCAAAGGGGTGGACTTCCTGTTTACCTAGCTAAGGTGTGTGCATCTGTCCGCACCTGAGCCCAGGTGTAGGTGTGGTTGCCTTCTGCCGGTCACGGAGGCTGGGCTATGTTTCTTTTTAATGGACTCCTCTCCCCACAATGGTGTCCATCCTGCCCAAAACTGGAGGTTGCCGTAGTTGAGTTTTTCCTCATCCGCTTATTGGAGAAGAAGGCGGAGGAAGGGTAACTGTTTGCCACATGAAGATGCCAAGGGTAAGAGGAACTGTGTATGTCCTCTGTTTCTGTCCACGAGACCCTCAACCAGCCTGACGTCTTCCACAGACATACGACGCTGAGGACCTTCCCAAGCCGTCGGCACCCTCGGAGATAATTTCTTATTTATTAGATGGATGATGGTTTTATTTTATCTTTAATCTCTTAAGTCGATGTAAAAAGCATCAAACCTTTTCAGACTTCTACATTAACGATGTATGTAATGCTGGCTGAAAAGTCAACTGACTGATTAGAGCTGTCTGGCCTCTTTGGGACAGCTAAGGCTTGGGGAAGGCCACCCAGGGGGGGTGCAGAGATGGAAGCAGAGGATGGGTTGCTGATGAGAGCAAAGATTGGGTCTCAGAGGCCTTGTCATTTAAGACACAAAACAGGTAAAGGCCCCCCGATACATTCCAGTAGAAAAGTTAGCAAATCCAGCAGCAGAGATCTGTCGGCTTTGTTGGGGGAGACAGGAAGAGAGTGCCTGTGTGCCTCTACACAAGAGAAACACAGTACCACACTGCTTTGTGATTAAGCATGTTCACTTCCTAATGCGCCCTCCAAGTGCATGTTTAGAAACAGAGCACATGCGGAAAGCCACAGGCATTTGGGCCGCATTCGTGAAAGGGGGGCTAGGCATTTCCTTCCTATGTTGTTGCATGGTCGATTTGTTGCTTTATTTTTAAAAGGAGAAATTTACCTTTCCTATTTATTTTCTAGCATTAGGAAAAATATCCCAGTGACTTATTTTTCCCTTTTCCCTTCAGGATGCTGGTTTTATTAACAAAAACTCTTAACAAGTCACCTCCACCAGCATGGGCCTCGCTTTCCCTTGAGAGAAGGAGAAATTGTTTTCATGGGCATCTGGGTACATTCTGCCCCACTGGGCTTGCCTGTGGAAAGCACTGGTTCCCTCTCCAACTAAACAACAGCTCATCCCTAGCAATTTTCATTAAAATTTGGAAGTAGAATAACAGCAAAATAATATGTGAAGTCCTTATGTGAGGAAACTCTTTGTTCACTAACATTTGAAAACTGAAAGATTTCTACCTATTAACTTCGTGCATCTAGCTTCCACACATCATGAAAGGGACCTTTAAAATATGTCAAGTTGGCTTAAAATTTCTGTCAGGTAGTTTTGTCCCCCTCTAATTCTTCTTCCCCAATCTGTGTATTTCGATGAATTTTCTCTTTATTCTGTACGACTGAGACCATTGTATGACCCGTGTCTTAGCTTTGGCACTTTTCTGGAATGATGCTGCACCTGAAGCAAAAGGAGCAGAAATGGGATCAGTTCACCAGCTGGCCCACTGACAATATACTTGACACAGTTCCCGGGTCTTGACATAAAAGAATAGGTTTAAGCTTGTATTTCTTGGGCACATCCTACAGCAGCAGGTATGTGGGCTGAGGCCTAACTGTAGCATCTTGCTCAGAGACCAGTCCCGTTGACACTGCTTTGTAGACCCCCATTTTCACTCCTCTCTCTCTCTCATCAGACCCTCCTGAAAGTCTGAGAGTCTGGTTAGAGAGACCAATGGCAGTGGAGTAGTGTGTTTTTACCTTGAGATCACATTTTACTTAGAACGATCTTTCCTCGGTCTTTTAGAGACTATTTGAGATCTGACTGCCTTTAAAGAATATGAACTGATGGGAAATGTTTCGTTCAGTCTTCAGGCGTCCCAGAGCCTTTGCAGAGGTGTGGGAAGAGGATGCAAGCAGAGCGAACCTTCTCGGTTCCCTGAAGGGGCTCCACAGTTAGGGTCCGTGAAGGCTCTGATCCTCACGTTACAGGTGCCAGCACCCCTTTCCTTGTGCCAGGGCAACCATGCGGTGAACCGTGCAGAGAAGGAGCGTGTGCCTCCCTGCGGGTGGCTCCCAAGTCAGTCCTCTGTAAACCAGTAGGTCTGAAAGAGTTGGAAGCAGAGGCTGGGGTGAAGGCAGGCCTCGATGGACCTTCGTCCATGCCCAGGATAGGAGAGCCTCGCTTCTTTGGTGATTCCTCTTTTAGAAATCAGGTGGCCAACAAGCATTGGATTCCTGTGCCATTTCATGGTGTTGATACTTTTTGGGTTAGCCCCCTTTTCAGGTTAAAAAAGCATCTTCTAATCCGTCTTCACAGGTTCCCTGTGTTTCCTTGCCCTTTAGAAAGCCGAATATTGCAGTTTGGGAATTGTTCCTGAGGCCCTTCCTGGTAAGGAGCCGCACACCTGAGAGTGGGGATCAGAGCCGCTTCCAGTGTCTATCTCAGGAGAAATGAAAAGCCCCCATTAGAAGGAGGGGGTGCTTCCAAATATTTTATGGAGCCTAGATTCTCCCACTGCTCTACAGGCTGTAACGTCTTTGAGCATACTGGCAGGAAACATTTTCTTCTAGGTAGAAAGACCTATAGCAGCCAACCCTGCTCTGGAAAAGATGCATCTGGACACACATGGAATCAAGCAAGATACGAGCTCGCCATGGTGCTCCATCCAAGTGGGCAGAATGGCCCAGAGTCTATTTTCCTAAGAAAGGAGAAGGAGGTGTGATTGGTACCCCCTCACCAACGCGTTGGTGAGGGAAGAGGAGGTGTGGTTCTAGAACTTCTTGGGAAATTATGCTCTGCAGGTGGAGAAAAGTGTCTGTCTTCACCCAGGTTTTCCAGGGCCAGGTGGTCTCAGTGCACATGGGCCACTGGTCACTTTTCCAGGCAATTTTGGCAGAAATGGATTGGCAAGGCTCCAGCACCATTCAGGAGACCCTGACCTCCTAGTAGGGCCTGGGCCTCGATTTCTGCCAACCCACTCAGCCAAGGAAGGTGGCGGCTTCAAAAGCCCAGGACCAAAGGGGACATCACAGAAACAAGAGGAACACATATGTTTGTTCTTAATGTTGGAACGTAAGACCTGTTCTCTGCAGCCACTGATTTTACCAGGCTTCCTGAAAGATCTAGTGGTGAACATACACACAGTACTGAAAAACAGCCCCTCCCCCTGGTTTAGTAACTTACTGAAGTATTCAACTTTTCATTATCCTTATTATAACAAACCTGATGCTTTTTTTTATTTTTAGAACTTGTTACTCTGACTTCTGTATATGTTGCACTGAAAAGGTTAATATTTAATGTTTTAATTTATTTTGTGTGATAAGTTAATTTTGATTTCTGTAATGAGTTAATGTGATTAGCAGTTCTTTTCCTTAATATCTGAATTATACTTATTTAAAGAGTAGTGAGCAATATAAAATGTAGTTGTGTTTTTCAGTCATGTGCATTGTTGTCTAGTTGTACTGTTTGTACCTCGTTTGGAAGGATGAAGGAATGAACTCTTTTTTTTTTTTTTTTTTCCCTAAATCAAGACTGGAGCTTTTCTTTCATGAGACTGGCATGTTGCTGAAAAGCAAATTAAGAATTTTCTCTGCAAATGTGAATGATGAGAAAAAATTAGATGCTCTTTTGCAAAATGTGGGGATACTAAAATTAACTACAGTTGATCCCTGTCTGCTTGAAGAAATCAAATCCTCCGAAGTTCCCAATATATGTCTTTCATCCACTATGGGTCTGCCAATATGCTAAATAATGCAGAGGGAAATATAAAACACACAATCCCTGCCCCAAAAGAATTGAGATCTGCCTGAGAGACTGACATGCAAAAAATAGTTCTGGACAAATTCCAGACAAAATACAAAGCCTGAAATTGTAAAGTAGAGAGCATGTGTTAATAACTGTGGGTCTCCAAGTGTGGTCCCCAGGCCAGCAGTGTCTGTATCACCTGGGGCCTTCTTGAGTCTCTTAGGAATGCAAATTTTCATGCCCCACCCCAGGATGTTAAACTCCAGAGTTGCCCCGCTCCCCCTCCATATTCTAGGTGATCCTGATACATGAGCAAGTTTGAGAACTGCTGTGCTATAGGACTCAGCAAAGGGCAAGTTAGTGTGGGGCCATAGTTTTTAGGAAAAGCTTTATAGAGGCTTTGCAGAAGAAGTGAAGTGTAATTCAGTTCACCTCTTCAGTGTTCAAAGTTAACAGCCATCAGAACGTAGGGGCTTGCATTAAGGCCTGCATTTATTTGGATCTTCTCTGCCTAGCCTCGTTGAAGGGAAAAACAGGCCTGTCCACCCCCTACCATACCCCCACTCACCCACCCCGTTCCCCGCTGCCCAGTTTCGAACTGTAAGGAATAGAAACTGTTCTGTCAACCCAGTTTGTACAAGCCTCGCTTACATGTGAAATCCCATGTTTAAGCCCCTGCACTTCCAACCTGTGTGTGGACCTCACATGTGCAGCATACGAGGGGCTCATGGAGAAGCAGCAGATAGTGAAATAGTTGTGGAATAGCGTGAGATCTTGGTCCCAAGGGATGCTCGGCTTTGATGGCAAAGGTGAGCCTGTAGAGCCTGTGGTCCAGGCCTCGGAGGGCTTGGGATGTGCCTGATTTACGAGATGAGAAGCTGGGCAACTCCTTGTCCCCAGTGCACTAGCCTGGGAGCTGTCCCTCCACAGCACCTTTACCCATCTCTGAGGAGACAGAGACCTGCTACCTGAACTTGGCATTCCCCTCTTGGCCCTATTCTGTCTTCAGGGACCTCTTCAGGCCCTGTTTCTAACCCATGGGATTTTCTTCTTGTCCCCCTCCTTCTCCTCCCTGATTTCCAAGCCCTCTGGCCAAGACTGCCTCTACCAGAGCCTGGTGACTGCCCCTGGTAGGTCCACTGGGCTGTCCAGGATGCCGCAGGCAGGACCTTTCCCGAGAAAAAGCACCTATGAACTCTGAGTCAAGCCAAACCAACCTTTCCTCATTTACCCAGGTGACTTGCAGTTGCCAACTTGAATCCGTGATCTGGACTTTTCAGGACTAGTCTTTTTGAATTCTGTTGGCCCAAACTTCAGACCCCCGTGTGCCCCACCTCCTGCCTAGCCCATTTTTGTGGTGTGTGTGACCTAGCTTGCCTCCTCTCTAACTCGGAGCTCTTTGCACAGCAGCCGCCTGGGGATTCTAGCACCAGCATCCCTTCCTCTGTCTTCTGAAACTCCCTCCTCCACATTTGCTCTCTGTCAGGGCTTGCTACCTCCAGGAGGCCCTGAAGTTTCTGTCACAGCCTTTCACCTTCAAAAACAGAGAGGATGTGTTCGTGGTCACACAACCTGGGTCTAGCAGTGTCTTTTCCACCAGGCTAGTTAGTGTCTCCCACCCAGATCAATCAAATTGTAGAATCTGGGGGGACGGAACTTGGGCATCTGTTTAAAATCTCTTCTGGAGATTCTGACCCAATCCCTACTGCTCTCTAAACACACCACACCCCAGGGAGCAGATGGCACAGGAGAGGTTTGGTGTCTGGAGCTGAGGGTGCCTGGTACCCACTCAGGGCGATCCCCCCAGTCCATGCTTAAGTACCCCTTCCATCCGGCAGATGGTATACCTGGGGAAGCATGGAGGCTTGGACCTCCTTTCAGGTGGGATCATCTATGGTAGAGAAGTGAGAAGACTCCTATGGGAACAGGAGCCTATAAAGAATACCATGTGACTAGCTTGAGGTCATGCACAAGTGGGTGATGGTTTTTCAGGAGACAAATTTTGCAACTGGGAATAAAAAACGTGACGTTTAAGCTGAAAGGGAAACAGGAGAGAGAAAGAAAAAGCAAAGTGTCCGCAGGACATTTCCTCTAATGGAAGCTTCAGGCCCTGGTGTGCAGCTGCACAGGTCCCCTGGGACAAGAGGATGCCCCGTGTCATGAAGTCTCCAGGGCAAGTCCAGGTCCCGCCCAGGAGCCCCTCCAAGGAGTTCAGAGGAGTACAGTTGAGAGTGGGACAAAGGAACCTCTCCACTACCTGGGGCTAGGCTGCCCCACATGTTCCAGAAAGGGATTCCACAGGTCTGGAAATGTGACATCCCCCAAGGGCTGTGCCGGGAGGGGCTGGTATCCTTTAAACCCTGTCCTGTCATACAGCAGAAAGCTGAATGACTCTCCTGCCTTTGTAAATGGAAACCCTGAACCCCAGCAAACCAGAGCGCAGGGGTTCTGGACCTGTGTGGTAGAGAGAGGCTGGAGGCAGAGACCTGGGTTGGTTGCAGGCCTGCTTCTTGCTGGCCTTGCTACCCTGGCACGTTACTGAGCCCCCACTGCCTACCTATCTAGCTCCTGCATGTTTCATTCAGGGAGATGTTGAGATAAAGTTTACAAATTCCCACTTGCTCAATCTGAATCTTGTAATCAAGAAAATCTAGTGTGACCCTAAATGCCACTAGTATATTATCCAGTTCAAGGGAGGCCCCACTCTCTGATCCTCTACCGACCTTCAATTCAAGGTAAAAGAAGGCATGGGGAGGGGATGTGTCATGAGGAAAATTTCCAGAGAGTCAGTGGCAAATGGGGCCATAATCAGAGGGTCAAGTTCCCAGTGGTTAAGGACCCAGAGGAGTGAGGAAACTGCCCTTGGACATAGAAGGTTGCTCAGTGTGACCTCAAAGAATAGGGCCAGCAGCAAAAAGGTTGATTTCTGCTCAACAGAGTCTTTTTCATCGCCAGAACCTCTTCCTAGGCTAGCGTACTCCCTGACACCAAAGTGGCCAAGCAGAGGCTGGGTGACCGCCAGGGCACAGGGGGTCCCCTGCTGGACTAGAGCCTGTGCTGGAAAAGCCTCTGGGGTCCAGTCCACCTCCAGCGCTCGAATTACCACCTCTTGCCCAAGAGTCCATGGGCTACCAGTGCTCCAAGCCTTCACCTCCCACAGCTCCCTTCTGGAATAGTCTATGAGCCCAGACTTGAGCCTCTGCCCTCCCCTTGCCCTGCTATGGGTCCTGCAGCCTCCCAGGGCTTCCTGGTGATGGAGGGGCATCTCAGGCTTGCTCAACCCCTTCACTCCCACCTCCTGGCTTTTGAGCCTATAGCTTAACCATCCTTGGGAGGGGGGGAGGCCCACACAGCGACCACAGTCCAAATGACTCTCAGGAGAGGGCCTGTCCAAGCTCTCTCTATCCCCAAGTGCCAAGGTGTGCTGGTGATTTGCTCTCCCATATCCACTGTACACCCTGTACCCCTGTGGACAGGCTGCCCAGGGCCCTCCCAATCCTGTGGCTTCCAGCATGGCCCTGGGGGAGAGCTGAGGTTTTTCATCCCCACTGCCTCCCTGCCCCAACGTAATTACAACCCAGGACTGGGCCCTCACCACACTTCATTTACACCACTTCCTCCCCTCACCCCTTCAGCCCAAAGGCTGTTGATGGCTTCCCACAGCTAATTCACCTCTGCGATCTTTCCCTCTCCTTGGTCTTCAATTTCCAAGAATGTTTAACTGGAGGCAAAAAATTCAAATGCTTCCAGAAGTGAAGCTGGTAATCAGAATCAGTGGGACTGCTCACTGGAAGCGTGAATGCCCTAGTCTAGGAATCTGGAGAGGAAGGTAGACCTTGTGAAGAACTGGAGGGCCCAGACCTGTTCAGAAGGGGGCGCCACTCCTCCCCTCCAGTTCCTCGTGGATATCCAGCACAGTGGCCAGATTTGCCATTTTTTCAAGAGGAGCAGAAAATCTGGACTTTTTCATAAAATATCTCTATTTCTAAATGTGGCCCAAATTTATAAACCACTCTGTGACCCCTCCAAAATCTGTCTGCAGGTCACCATCCACAGTTGCTGTTTGCAGCTTCCACTCTCAAGCTGTTTGCTTGTCTCGGGCTCTGCCAGGCCTCTTCATGCCTCTCTGCCTTGGCAGTTCTCTTTGCTGAAAATGCCTTTTTTCTGCTCCTCTCTCTTAGCACGCTTCTGTTCCTTCCAGAACAGAAGGCTTACGCCTCACATTCTCTCTGAAACCTTCCAGGAGCCCCCATACAGAGCCTTCACGTTATTCAGACTTCTGTTACTGTGCCTACCGCCGCCATGTTTGTTGACAAGTCCTCCCCAAGTTGTCCTGTGCCCCAGGTCATGAGCTTCACAAGGTCAAGCACTTCTATCCTCTCTGTCTTTATAGCCAAGCGTTTACCTAATGCCAGAGACACTGAAGGTAATGCAGTAACATTTTGTGTAACAAAAGCATCAGATATATTGATGGACCCAGGTATGTCTCCTGAGGCAGAGGAGCGATGTCATATGGGACCACTGGGTCCCGCGGGGCCAGGTTATTAGATGAAGGGACTTGGTATCGACTACCACAGTCAGACACCTCACAAGTCAAAAGGTCATTGTGACCCTCCCTGGTTCCCTATCTACCATGAAAAGCTTTTCTTCTAGGCAAAAATGTATTACACGTTCTGACCAGTGGTTTACCAAGAACTTTGTCACAGCCCAGGTGGATGCGACAGGAATTTTTTTCCCTCTTTTTCCTTCCATGGCTGTATTAAGATATAATTGACATATAGCTTATGTAAGTTTATGGTAGACAGTATGATAATTTGATACATACGTTTATTGCAAAATAACTACCACAGTGAAGTTAGTTAATACCTCCATCCTCTCACATAATGACCATTTTCGTGTGTGTACCGAGAACACTGAAGATCTCATCTATCAGTAACTTCCAAGTACATGGTATATGATACAGTATTGTTAACTATAGTCACCATGTTGTACATTGGCTCCCTAAAACTTATTCCTCTTATACTTGGTTGATTGTACCCTTTGACCAACATCTCTCCATTTCCCCCACCCCACCCCCGGCTCCTTGCAATGACCATTGTACTTCTTCCCGTTGCTCTGAGTCCAACTTGTTTAGATTCCATATAGAAGTGAGTATTTGTCATACAGTATTTCTTTTTCTCTGTCTGACTAGATCGCTTAGAAGAATTCTCTTCGGGCCCATCCACGTTGTCACAAATGGTGTTGGGAAATTTATTTGACAAGAAATAACCTGGCTCATTTTCCTACACAAAAATCAGTTTTCTAGTAACGAAAGTGATGAACTGAAGTGCATTCTAATTTGAGGAGGTGAAAATTGAATTCCATAAATGAGCCCCTGTCATTAAATCATGAAAATGAATTAAAATTACTCAATTGTCTTTCTTAATTAACACTGATGGTGTAAATAAAGGACTGTGAAGAGTTTTTAAAATCTAGCACTGAACACTAAGAAGACATTGGTGTACCAGAATTCTACAAGTGTTCCTGGGATAGTTATCCTCATTATTTATTTTAACTGTGCAAATACTATATCTCTATTTAGGAATACCACATTTTTAAACCGGGTAAAAAGTACCAGGTAAAGGATTCAAAACTAAATTCTGCCTTCATATCATTAAAAGGAAAATACCACCTATCTTTGAATTCTTGGTACAGGGGAAAATAAAATTGGAATTCATGTTCTACAAAAAAAAGGGGGGGTATAAGAAACTATGAGAAAACAAAAATGTATAATTTGAAATTTTTCTTCTATTCAGCTTATACAACTTAACATCCAAAAAAACAAAACCCAAATTAAAAATGGGCAGAAGACAAGAACATACATTTCTCCAAAGAAGACATCCAGATGGCCAACAGACACGTGGAAAGATGCTCAACATCATTCATCAACAGGGAAATGCAAATCAATACCGTGATGAGATATCACCTCACACCTGTCAGAATGGATAAAATCAAAAACACAAGGACAACAAATGTTGGCAAGGATGTAGAGAAAAAGGAACCCTCACGCAATATTGGTGGGAATGCAAACTGGTGCAGCCACTCTGGAAAACAGTATGGAGGTTCCTCAAAATATTAAAAGTAGAATTACCATATGATCCAGTAGTTCCACTAGGTATTTACCCAAAGAATATAAAAACACTAATTTGAAAAGATATATATGCCCCTGTGTTTATTGCAGCATTATTTACAGTAGCCAAGCTATGGAAGCAGCCCAAATGTTCATCAATAGATGAATGGATAAAGAAGATGTGGTATATATATATGATGGAATAATACTCAGCCATAAGAAAGAATGAAATCTTGTCATTTGCAACAATGTGGATGGACCTATAGAGTGTAATGCTTAGTCAGAGAAAGACAAACACCAAATAATTTCACTCGTGTGAAATTTAAGAAACAAAACAAATGAAGAAAAAGACAAACCAAAAAACAGACTCTTTTTTTTTTTTAATTTTTTTTTTTATGTTATTTTATTTTTAGGAGAGAGAGAGAGAGAGAGGCAGAGAGAGAGGGAGACACAGAA